CTTCATATTGTGATCAGTAATAGGTATCATCATGTTGGACATGTGAAAGTGATCATATGAGGAAAAATTGTCCCTAAGACGACGAGGGGCGTAGTTCACAAGCTAGGTCTTAGCTGGCACAGATTGTGTGTGACCATTGTGGTTGAGCATCTCATTCTTGACAGCGATGTTTTGACCTTCATCTAAAGTTAAAACTTGATCAAGGTTTAGGATTGTTTCGTTGAAACTTATGACCACCACAAGTAAAACAAAAAAATTCAAAGGAGGTGGATTTCCTCTTTGAGTATAATTTTCATATACTCTAAAGCTTCGCCCTACATTATGATTGTTCTTCTTCCACAACTGTACTACATTGATCTTTAGGTGATAGAATTCATCTAGAGTTTCCATGATAGATTCAACTCACGTTCCAAATCTACACTAGGAATAGTCATTGTGAAGTAACTAGCAAGATTTGAAATAGTGGATCTTATTACAACATGAGGAGCTACTTGTCTAGTCATCAAACTGGAATCATCATCTTGTAAGTTTTTTTCCATTCTAATAGCAATTTGAATGATTTCAGCCTTAAAAGAGTACTTCTCATATGACAATTTACTTCCAATTTTTAATTTCAAACCTCCAAAAGAATCTTTTGTGAGCATCGTTCTTATTCCCATCATTGTAAAATCCACTTCGTCTCCAGCTTTCCTCAACATCACGTGAAATCTTGACTTCAACTTCTTCATTCTCTCTACATAAGACCTCGGATTTTCATTGTTTCCTTGTTTCAAGTTGATGTTACACTAAATCGAACCATCACGTGACTTTTTTTTTTGACGTGTCGCCGGTCGATTTAATGGTAACATAACAAACAAACTGTTAAATTTAACTTTTATATGCTCATCAAGAAGTCTCCCTTTGAATGTGTGGTACGTGAAATCACTTTCGACGTACTGGTGCGTGTCGGTTTCCGTTTTCAAGCTCTGCCATACAAGCTCTTCAAGAAGTTGCTGAGATGTACATGGTACATCCGTTTGAAGACACGAACTTGGCAGCTATTCACGGAAATTGGATTACTATTCAAACAAAGGATTTTGTAAACAGATAACAGTAAAGCAAAAAAGTCACGTGATGGGTCGATTTAGTAAAGAGATGGGTCGATTTAACATTTCACTCTATATTTTTCAATTATAATTTTTTACTGATTATGATTTGGGAACATTCTTGAATATAATCTATTAATAATATTCCACATCTAATGAGTAGAAGAAAATCAAGTCTTTAATTGTGTCATAAATCAAGTTTTTGTAACTTTCTTTGGGAATAAAGTTTTCAATCAGGTTTTCTGTCAACGTCTACTAAGTGGCCTACTTCAAATGCTTACTCTTGTACTCTTTGTACAATTTGAGAACTGAATCATCCAAAAAATCCAGCAAAAACATAACACGTTTGTTATTCTTCCTCTCATTGTTTACTATGCAAGGTCTTTTGAAGTTCTTAACACAAACTTCTACATACACAAACTTCTACATACTGCCTTCCATAAATTAAATCCTTGAGTAATTCATCAAAAAAACACAAAAGTAATTGACCCATCATAATCATAATTCTCTCTATTACTCTAAACACACAATGAGTTTTACTCTCATACTTATCTTTTTCATCATCCAAATGACGATCTCCATCTTCATCTTGGAGCTTGAACTAGCCGAGATCTCTCCATCTTTGAGTTTAAATCATCCAAGATAAAATTTTCCGTCTCCGTACTATACTTGACATCAAGACTTTCCACAAATGATTCCAGGATTGACTTCACTCCGTTGCATTTGTGTCATGACGGTAGTCCAATCACTTCACAATCATCACAGAAGTTTGCACTGTTTCATGTGAAGATGATGGTATTGAATGAAGTTTCAAATCTACCAAGTTTTCTCCACTCCTCAATCTCCTATCTTTATTTTGCAAGGAACAAATTACCACTTTATGTCACTAGTCTCCACAATAGAAGCAAGTTTTGTCTTTCACTCTTGGAGATTGACTTATTATTCTCTCTTCAAACTTCACTTTGAACCATCTTGCATTTGAGTCTAAGAAACTATAACATCCAACTCTTGAAGTAGTTTGAATAACCTCACCTTCCAATTTCCTTGTTCACTTGTTTTTCCATAAGGTGAAATCTCTCAAAAGGTTTCTTCCAAAAACAATCCCTACATGATGAAAATTGTGAATGAGAAGTTGAAAACTTTTGCTCTCTTTTCTTGATTTTGTAACCCCTAAACTTCAAAATAGCATAACTTTGTTTCTTCAAGTGAACTCTCAGTGAAATTTTAATTGATACATAGATTATATTCCAATACATACTTGTAAAAAGTTTCAAATGCTAAATTCAAATAAAGAAAAAGTAATTTACTATATATCAATTTTACTAAGAGCTATCTTTTCATATTTGTGAAAACTTCCTTAATTTTCAACACTCATAACTTTTACATACATATGATATAGTCTTGAAATCAAAACTAAAACATACCTCAAGTTTCACTCTACAATCTATAAAAACTTTTGAAAATGTTTTCATAATTTTTGTTGCTACTTAAGACAACTTTTCTTTCAAAAAGACGTATTCAAGTGAACAAAACATACAAAATCATATCTTGGATATCATTTGAGACTACTGAATAAACAATGTACTTCACTCTCAAGCATACTTTCTCTTCTTTCATTTTCCATTATTAAATTTTAAATAAATTCTCATGAATATTTTCTCTTGAGCTAAAATCCGAATTTTAAACATTTTGAGTTCTAGATTGAGATTTCGGCAACGAAATAAAAAATGCAATCTTTAGGTTGAATCTCACTCAAGTTTACCTCAAATGGCTTTGCGGTAGCTTATCATGGTTCTACAAGTCTAGGATTATTTCTTATACTCATAAACCAAACATTTTTTCACACATTTTTTCAATTCATCACTCAATATCACACACACATTGACACTCCAAGATGTTGAAAAACGAAACTCTTTCATATATGAAACAAGTTTCTAGACATGACTCTTCAAACTTGCTTGAAATATTCTTCACTACCTCTCTATATATATTACTTGAAAATATACCACAGTAACAAATTGTATTTTTTATCTGAGAAATACGACTATACATTCTAGTTGTATTTATGATTCATGCTAAGCATTTTTTCCATCTTTGTCTGTCAAAAATCTCTTGGCCATATTTTTCCCGTCAATTTTTTTCCTCTTGTACAAAAATCTCTCGATTAAGTACGCAAATTGATCTTGGGAGAATTTTGAGTAATTAACATGTTTACCTAAGAACAAACAATTATTTTTCACTACTAAATAGATGTAATGAAAGACAATAGTACACTTTGGACTATTAAGTAAACTTGCTAGTCAACTAAACACAAGATATTTTTGCCACCTAAATAAACTGTCTCGATGAACTAAAGTCAAGCAGTGTTTTTTGTCATCCCGAACAAAACATATGTGTTCTTACAAGTACCTTTGTGTTTCATTGCTATCGCACACTATTTGGATTAATTTTGGCTTATTAAAGCTTGATTATTTGGTTATTAGAGGATTGTCCGTTTCATTGTTTTCTTGTTGCATCGGTTACGATGGCAAGTTAGTTCGGTGCAGTGAAGTTAGTTCAGCAAAGACAATGAAACTATTTCAATATTTTTTTTTTCACATTTGTATTCATCGTGTTGAGAGTTCATACCATGCTCTTATCAACTATCAAACAAATTTGTTGGAGTTGGTTAATATCATATGCAATGTCAAAGAAAGTGATAGTTAAATGATTCAATGAGTTACAATGATGCAAAATTATTGAAAAGCTGAGGCGGAAGTATGCTTCTAGTAAAAGACTGTTAGCGCGTGTCTACAATGTAAGCAAGGAAAAAATAAGGCATGTGTGGGACAAACGAGACAAAATTTTACAACAATATGTTTTCATGTGTGATCAAGCCAAAGAGAAGTTTTTTCTATCCTTTGTTAGTCAATTTACTAACCTTGTAAACATGCTATATATACATATTGACAGCATGCGACTTGCAAATCTCCTTGTTCACTGATCTCTTGCCATTGCCAAGCAAAGAATGTTGCATCAAGTTTACTAATTCCTCGAAGTGATTTCAAGTCATATTGGTAATGGTTAAGTGAATTTAGAAAAAGATATTACTTAGCGAAGAGGAGTTTGAAGTCAATGTTTTTATCATATGTTGCTGACAGTCTTAGACAAATTCTATGTGAGTAAAGCTTAATATGATACTCAAAACCACATTGGGGACAGAAGACTAAATGACATCTCGAAGTGCTACGTAGGGAAATGACGGATTCTCGAAGGTGCTCCCCCTCAATCATGGACGAGATTGGCTTATTATTTCTCTTACTTCCAAAATCTTAATCAAAGTCTTCTTATGCTAAATGAAGACATATTAGCTATCACATGATTGAAAAAATTAATTTATAACATACCTTGCACATCGATAGACAAATCAAAAACACTTGCTAGAATTGAGGATCGTAGATAGCATGTTCCATATACCCTAAACTTCAAACTTCAACCTGTAGAAGCACACGCAGAGTACCAGAAGCACGATGACACAACCCAGCTGCATAATGTAGCTGCTGGAAATCGACTCGTAAGCCGTTCTCACCATGGCCCGATGCATCTCAGATTGTCGATAGCATGTTCCATACATTAGTCAATGAAAGCTTGGATGGATGTTAGACATGATAGAAGTGGTTCAACTAAGTATTTTTTACAAAGGTGAAAAAAAGAACCAGATATGGAATTCTTTTGGTGATAGACAATGCCCCTTGACATTATGAGGCTTTTGAACGTGACAGTGGTAGCATCATTTTTTTTTTCTGCAAATTGCACAAACTACAAAGTGTCTTGCGAGATAGACATACTCATTGGGCATCCGACACTGTTAAAAAAGCATGTCGGCAATAAAGAAAACTCCAATAAAGGAAGAGAAACCACGTTCACCATGACGTGCTCAGTGAAAATTTGATTTCAGGGCCAGAAACATGCCACGCCGATATTCTCAATAAAAAATTTATGGAATCCAGAGGCTGCCGGGATGCCAAGTCGTCGGGAACACGATGAGAAAAGCAAAAGCGAAGGAAGCTGGAAGGACTCCATAACTCTCATACCATAACACTCACACATACACACGTTGATGGCGCACGGTGGTCTCTTATGTACAAAATTCTCTGCACTATTGCAGAAATGAATGATAAAGTTTAACTATGGGGGACAAGTAAATTCCTAATTTTCAGGGTCTCGTCACAGAAGGAAGGTGTCGAGAGTTAGTTTCGGCGGTTCCTTCTCGGTACCTGCAACGCAAAGAATAGGAGGAGACTTCCAGCGATGAGCTGGGCGAACATGGACCGACGGCGGTCTTGGCATGAATAATCATGGTTGAATAATATCACTGAGGGGACACTCCGTTCGGCAGAACACAATAACACAGTCTGTCACTGCTGCCCAGCCCAGGCTATCACACCCAGGCTAGAACTACTGAGAAACCCTGTACTATAAGCATCCTGGCTGACAAAATGAGCAGCATTCCCATATGCACATGCTGCGAGGCAATCAAACTCTTGTATCTGCTGAACCTGCCCTTGCAAGATTCGGAAACCGAGATAGGAAAGGTGGCTCGTCCAGCAGCTAAGTCACTCACAAAGTGCCCTTGCCCGGTTGGGCCGCACACCATACCCTGACTGATTTTCACACCCTTGGATGGGCCCTGCTCGGTAATCACCCCCGATTTTGCTCCAGCTTCAAGAACATGCGAGGATTCTGCACTGACCAAAGGCCACCATAGCTGACGTCTTCGCTCCCGCTGGATGCGTCTCCACCTTCTCATCTCAGACCGCAAGACGCTGTTGATGGCAGCGTAGTAGTTGCGAGGGTCGTGATGCTTTGAGATGGATCCCTCTGAACCATAGGAACCTGGATCGCTGAGAATTTCGAGAGGATGAGGCTGGTTCAAGAATGATCTTTGAGCGGCTCGGACTTCAACTTCGCGAGATGGTACGGATCCGTCAGCTGTCTTGTTCTCGTTGTGGCTGCGGTGTTTGATCAGGTACAACCCGCTTCCTGACGGAAGCAGCGGATGGAAGGAAGCTTGTCGTTGGTCTGGTTGCAACACCATCAACTGTCCCATCGGTGCATACAGAAGCCGCTGTCGCACGACCAAAAACACTGTCAGTCATTCTGGGAACAGAAAAGCGACAACCCTTCGCTCGTGAACAGCTGACGAGGATATTCAACAAAAGCACAACAATCAAGCAATTTGTGTCAAAAGTGCCTCGGTAGCGTGGCCCAATCCGTACCTGGCGTACGAGACACGAGTGGTCGCGAAATGTGCCATTGACACGCCGCAGGACTTCCGCCACATGGTCCGGGTAGTTGCATGCAAAAGTTCTAGGCACAATATCCCTGTGCATAACTATACTTTGAACATGTGTCAAAGGGAGGCCCAATTTTTTCAGTAGATAGTCTCCACCGCACATGATGTACGGTGCTCCATAGGTGTACACAGGGAGGAGGTTGCTGGTATTCAACACACCACGAACGTGTAACATGAGAGAAAGTAGCATGCCTAAACTGCCGCCCAACGAATGCCCCGCAAAACGGATGCGTGCGCTTTCGCCGTGAGTTTTCAGATGCTCCAAAACGTAAGGAAGAACCTGCTCGTATAAACCCTTGGCAGCTTCATATATACCCCGATGGACCATAACTCCCAGACCAGAATTCTCGAATTCTATCGGTTCGAACAACAGATTCGCTTGCCAGGATGCAAAGGATTCCGAACCCTGAAAAAGATGCGAGAAACCGTCAGAATCGGAGCGACGTCGGTAGTTAATTGAAGCAATTCTCGCTCATAAAGCAGCACGCAGACTTAAATCAAGCTGCGATTAACTCATGAGCTCTGCAATTTACATGACCCAACCCGCCCTGACGGCATGTCTCTCCAATCCGGCATTAAACATACGGCCACAGTCTATACTGACGAGAAATTTCTATCACATGTACTGATCACAGTCGTCAACCACACTTTACCTGAATGCTGAAAATCCGAGTGGGGCCGCTCTTTTCATCCACCGCGAACCATTCGCAAGGACAAGTATGTAGAGAACGAAGATTTTTAGCCATGGCTTGTTTGGTTTCTTTTTCAGCTGAAACAACGGATGTAACTGGACGCATGAACGAAGGCATGTCTGGAACTTCCTCCCGATCGCCTTGGGACTTTTCGGATTTTTCGCCTTCCCCCGAGGCCTTCGAGCTTGACGATTGAATAACATCTGTATTGGGACCTGCCAGACCTTCGTTTTCTGTTGTTTCGCCAGATTTCGTACCTGTAGTCTGATCTGATGAATCACCCATACTCTTTTGCGGAGCTGCTTGTCTAGATTTCTTCTCTGATTTTAGGAAAGACGCGGCGGCGGCAGCAAGTGCATATGCAGATGCGGGACTTAAGTAAAATTCTTGTTTGGCTTCACTTTGTGCTTCACTCTTGTCGGTCTCCCCTTTAGCAGCGGCGGCTTCTTTTTCTTCTGCAAGTGCTTTGGCTTTGATCTCTATGGATGAAGTAACGAACACAAGACGGTGAATTCTGGCCAGTTCACCTGCCTGTTCACAAGATTCAGTGACAACACTGTTAGCAACTACTCAAGTGCCCGTTGCCAGACAAGCCTCGTTGTGTAACATCGTCAATGTCAACAGACGGACCTCAACTCGGACAGACAACCAAATTAACGAACACGAAGGCTGGGGACAAAGTACTTGACTATGTCTGCAATTTTGGGATGGCGTCTAACCAGGACGGTGCGTGCATAACTTACAATGCTTGAGGGTCTTGACTGAATCACTGCCGGGTGTAGGCAGCACACAAGATTCCAAATCAAAAGACTGGGTTCTCACGATAACCGAGGCCTACGAAACCCGACACTTCTTTGCAACATATACAGTTCCATTATCGATCGATACCAGATTGCTAGGAGTTGCTAAGCCATCATCACATATGCTTCCTAGTCTAGATCCCCAAAGGGATTGAGCGTGGAAGAGGTCTCTGAGGAGAATGCAAGTACCTGAATTTCGGGAATGACGTACGCCAAATTGCTCAAGTACGAAGTCTGGGAGATAATTCTCAACTCCGACAGCGGGACTTGGTGCAAAAACTTGGAGAAAGACTCGAGATCATGAGTAACATTGAGATGGGCCACTTCGAGAGTGGACAGAGGATTGGCAGCGGGATCGACTGCACAACTGTTCCCGATCTCGGCCTCGCAACCGACACACCTCGCGGTCTGCTTGGCTCCGGCCGGAGCGCTTTCATCGGCCACGGAGACGATAGTCTCGCAACTGGCAGAGACGCTCGAAGGGGACGCGGCGATGCCGACCGCCCCAATAGCAGCCTGAAGGTCATCGGCAGCCGGGGCTTCCTCGAGCGACGGGACCTTGACCTCGATGCGGGGACTCTTCTTGAGGAAGTTGACGCTGAGCAAATTCTGGATCCACCTCTTGGCAGCATTCCCGTTCTCAAATTTGCCGAGCTCCCGCACGGATCCGTCAATAATCGCGTCGATTCTCCTCTCCCGCTCCGTCTCCGCGTCCAGCAATCCCATGCTCGTCAAACCCTCCTCGCCAGCCCCCGGCATTCTACTTCGGCTCTCGGCGTCCTCCGAGGGCTGCTCGCTCTCCGCAGCAGCGCCACCATCGGGCTGCGCGGCGCCATCAACATCCCCATCGCCATTCCGGGGTGTCGAATCCTTCGGCCTGCCATCCCTCGCGCCTCCGCTGCTACCGCTGCTGCTCCCGGGCTCCTCGTTCTTGCCGCTGTTCGAGAACCAGAGGAAGCGCAAGGGCGCCGGCACCAACGATCGAGCGGGCGGAAACGGCAGAGGCGCCAGGCTCGTGTAGCTTCGCCCTCCTCCGCCGCTCGCGCTCGAGGCCGCAGCGGCAGCCGAGGCCGGCGACGCCTTCTCGCCCACTCGCGCCTTGTCGACCACTTTCGCCTTCTTCTCCTTCTCCTGCGTGCCCCCCGACACGCCGCCCACTTCCCCTCGAATCGCCCCGCACGAAATCACCACATTGCTCGCCCTGCAAATCAGAGACTCCATCTCTCTCTAATCTCTCGCTCCGCCTCTGCGCCCGCTTTTTTCCTTCCCGCTCGATTCTTCTTCCTCGACTGCTGCCGACGAAATCACCACCGATCTGCCCAAGAAACTGCGCTTTTTCCCAATCGATCGACGCCCCAATGCCTCGACGACCTCGGAAACCTGTCACCTCGGCGCTCAATCTCTCTCCCCTCCTCCCTGTCCCTCACGTGGCGCGGGGAGAAGTGCAGCGGCAGCGCTCCTTCTTCGGGCTCTAATGTATACGCGCCTCCCTCGCACTCTCCCCGCCCCACCCCACGTTCCTCCTTCTCGTCGCAGTCGCAGTCGCAGATCTAGAACCGAGTCGATGCAGGAACCGGAACCTAGTCTAACAACGAGGTTGGACAGACGAACCACGTCACAAGGAGAGGAGAGGAGAGGAGATGAGGGTTCGAACTGCGTCTCTTTGAGGGTGGAAGGAATGAATTCAGGCGAACGGCACATTGAACACGTTACGCAGGCGCTGCTGGGCAGCGGGTCTAGCCTTTTCTAGCGGGTGCTCTGCTCCTCCTTCTGCGTCCGGGTGTGCTATGCTATACGGCAGTGGGACGGGCTCGCGTCCACGTCAGCCGAGGGCAGGATTGTGCTGGTCGCGGACGAAGGAGACCGGGGCGTGCTGTGTGCTGTGTGCTGGTGACGTGGTTGCGACAGTTGGTCCACGCGACAGGATGCGATCGGGACCTTCGGATTCCGTCTCGCCCGCCGTGCGATGCACCCCTGGTCGTGACGTGTCAGCGCGTGGGGGGGCGCAGGATAAAGACCGTGTGGGTGACGTGGTTCGGGACTCCGATCGTCCACGCCACCCTCCGCTCCCTGCTGCTTGCCGTCTACACCTCGTTCTACGTCTATACGCCCCTCATACGCCACCTCGTCCTCCCGACGACCACGCTACGGGACTTACGAGCCTTCGAGCTCCCCAGGGTACACGAAGAAGAGCCTCCTACTCGCCAGTCAGTTCATCTGCCGACTCTCTGAGATCTCCGAGAGGCCACTGGGAAATCGAAAGCCCCAACCAATGAAGCAATAAAATCTGGAGGGGAACGCCAGGCATTCCCCGACAGCACTACTTTTGCATCTTGTCTCTTCTCTCGCAGAAAGCTTTGCGCTGAGCATGAGAAACGGGGGAATATCAAGGGCAGATTGGAATGGGATGGGATTCACCTCTTGGTCGGTTGCAGCAGGGGCTGCAGGGAAAGTGACAGAGTTACTCGGCTTCGAAAGCGAGCAACAGGAGCGTGAATTGCTCTGCACTTGGACGAGAAGTTATGAACCGGAAGAGAAATGTCAACAGCGAGTGAATGAGACGGAGTGAGGAGAATTCGGAGCAGGATTCGATCTATTATTATTACAAGCCATGGCCGAGGATCGAAGCTTTGCGCAGATCAAACACGGCCTGAGCTGTTGAAGATTCCTCGAGGATTTCCACACTCCAGGGGATTCTAATAATACCCTCGAAGAAAGGGTTCGACTTCCACTTCCCTGTCCACGTTAAAATCCTACATGGCACCTCCTCATTCGTCTAGGCCCGCCGGACCCTCCCCATGGGCCCCGCCCAGCCCCGTGACCTGGACCACTCGTGGACCCTAACCTAAAGAACGGGGAAAGCGGAAAAGACGAACCGGACTTCATGGACGCTCCCTCCCTCCTCCGGAAAGATCCTGTCGTGGGGCGAGAAAGATGGACGGGACAGATCTGGTTGACCCGGAATCGAACCACGGCACCGTGAAACGCCAGTGGCACTTTCCGAGGTAATAAGATTCCGTGCTGGCAGGAAAGTACACTCTTGTTTGCCACGGAGGCCTGTTGGACAGGGAGTGTATAGTATATCCATTGCCATGGCACACGTGGACTGACAAGTCACTCTGTCACTCGCATCATCCACATGGTTCGTCCTTATTGACAACCGGCTGGCTTCTGGAGTCTAGCCCTACCCCTACCCCTACCCCGGGCCGCGGTCGCGTTAACCCGAGGCCCAAGGCCCAGGCCCGGTTACCCAGTAGGTTAATTAACCCGAGGCCCCAGCACAACGACCACGATGACCTCGAGGGAGACGGTGTCGGCGGTTGTTCACGATGGAACCCGAGGGCTGGTCCCCGTGGAAAGAAGGTCGGTCCCTTTCGGAGACCCTTCCACGACCGAACGAACCAGCGAATGAATCGGGTCCTTCTGGCGAGGGACGGATGCACGGAGCAGGTCCCTCACCCGAAGCTGCATCTGCTGTCCCTGTCCAGAACAGGAGCACCCCAGTGACTATGCACAAAACCACGGGTCGGGTCCATGCGACGCGTTCAGAATCCACCTCGTAAGACCGAGAATAAGATCCGACTTCGTGACGTCGGGAGAGCTCTGGTAAAAACTCTACGTCGTAAAAACTGGACTCACCGGACCACGTAGCAGTTACCGACTGTATCCTTCTTAACCATCCAGGTCGGGTTCGAACCAGGTCCGGGTTTAGACTGTAACTACAAAAACGTCCAAACGGCAGGCCAGAAATGGCCACAACAGAAACCGCTGCCTATCTATTCTCCGAAGGCCCTTCGGCCATCACACAACGAATCGCAGGCTCCGCGGGCACGAGAGTTCGATTGGCCCAGAACGAGAGGGCAAGAGCGAATCGAGCTCAACGTCTCAAACCGTAGCACCAGCGCATTTGAATTGCGCTATCAGAAGAGAGAAGATAGTGGACTGAATGTCTGGACTGGCCCCTCCGGCCCCCCAACCCCCCCGCCCGATTTGACATCTGGATAGACACTCCAAATGTTGCGGTCGGTCTGGAGATGCAAACGTCACTCGGTGCCTTCCATGTACCTAGCGCTCGACAAGACCCCGACAGACGCGCCATCGATCGGACGGCTGCGCACCGAGCGATGGGCGGGCGACCCTGTGACGACATTCGGAGCAGGCGATTGGGTGGGAGCGTTGGCTGCGTTGTGCCCGTTGGAGCGCCCCGTACTGGACGTTCCGGTCCCTGAGACTCTTCGGTGGTGAGGGCTGAGGAGGGGAGGGGGCAGAGGAGCCCGGCGTAGCAGTCTGACTGTGACTTGGATCCCCTCGAGCAGCCGTCACCGGTCCTGTCGCTCGACATCCTCGTACAGAGTTGGGGGGGAAAAGGAGTGAGTTGTATAGGTCGGGGTTCATTCCCCACATGCTCTACCGTGCGCTCGTTGACTGACCTCGTTAGTAGCTATTCTTGCACGATTGCAGTCCCAGAGTCACATGACAGTCCTGGGCCCTCGTGGATTTTGACCATTCGAGAGGCATTTCTGTTCGTAGATCCAATTGTGTTAATTTCACGGCTCCCAAATGGTTAATCGACTGAAAGCTACGCATTCCGTCGAATGAGGCTCATTCCTTATGATTCACGGACTTTGTTGAGTCTTCTGTACTCCATAGGCGAGCTGCAGATAATCAGTGCATTTTTCACAAGACCTACGAACCGAACTGGTATGAGCACTGACTAAGCAGCCCGGGGTCGGGAGGGATTACTTCTCTAGGCCGGGTTGAATGAAACACGTTCAAACCTCATTTGGGAAGGCTGGGAGGAGATCGCAGCCATTCACACATGGCATCTGCAGAGCAACTCACTTGGCATAATTATGGTGCCGCCTACAGAGTCATGTAGTGTACAGCAGCCGTAGATGTAGACCTGCCACTTGCACGCATCCCGGACCCCTTCAGTTGGCGGCGTGAATTCTGAGTTTTTCTCCAATACTCTGGAGCACAACCATCGCTGGAATGCCATGTGGGAAGCCTTTACGGTGTGGGCCTCACAAATCGGACTACTGTTCGCATCCAGCACAAGCATTAAGCTAGCATGGTCTAGGAAGTGCAACGTGCACAGGTAGTCATAAACAGGTAGATACACAGTAGATTCCATTGCTACAGCAGGTTTCACGTGGTCAGTCAACGCAGTGACTTTGCACCTGTTAGCTTCATATCTTGGATCCAGATTTCGTGAAATCGATTATACAGCCCAAAAGTCCCTCCTTTCAGCCGCTTTACAGGCACAGTGAATTTGATGGAAACAGCTATATTACTACAGCGGCAACATACGCCGCACTGCACGCTCTAGCCGAGATATCCTACTTACAAAACTTGAGGATTGCCCTGGACATCCTTCGAAAGTTGCTGTGTCCGAGAAGCGCAGCTTTGCTTCTGATTTGGATAGCGAATGCATCTGTCTTGATTAATTGACATTCTTTGTCACAACTAAAACTCATTCAAAACGGGTGCCCACGCTTACAAGCTGCGAGACCTCGACGGACTCACGCTGTTCCAACATCAATACTTCCAACACATCAGCGTGCTTTGTAAACATTTTGCCAAAAAAGTCGTACTCCTATCATGAAGCAAGGTTTACTGATGATCATGTGGTTGAAAGAGAAACGACATCCAAGGACGCGAGAGGAAACGTTTCTGAACTTTACGTCCACCCACATATTTTGAGAATAAACTCGACATTGCATATCCTACTCGGCACAAGGCTTTCAATGTCCCACTTGAATTCCCGAACCTAATTACAAGGGCTAGAAGAGTCTCTTGGTGTCATAAAAGAAGAGCAATGTTTGCTATCTTAGGCTAACAACATTTCCAATCTCTGAGGCACATTGGCAATTTCACCAAACCTGTACATTTCTGCCACTGCTCTGATAGCCCTTCTGAGGTCTTTTACTTTCTGCGCTAGTCCGCCACTCGAGGTGGCAGTATCTTCCATTTGCAGACCATATCGACGATTCTCTTTAGGTGGAGGCAGAGGCATTTCATCGTACGCCACAGTTTTGCTATCAGCTTTCTCAGAAATACTGACTTCAGCCATTCGTTCTAAAAGCCCTGTCTCGTCGTTATACGTGTCCAACAATCTTGACCTTCCCACCGAAGTACAAAGCGTTTTGAAAAATTCCGCCAAAAATGGTATCCTCTGCCAATGTTCCATCAAAGAACCATATACGCAAACAAATTAGAGATGACCTAACACCCTCCGAACTCAACAAGCATTAGAAACGCCAACCACACCGCTCATCTCAACACCCCGGAGCACATAAAGTGAGAACTTATACCTTCAAAAGAAAATCCTTCAGGTGCATGAAATCATCGGGCTTGCTCAAACCAAGAACATGTACTACAGTCGTCGTGAGCTGTTTCGTTCGAATCCAACAAAACATGCACATATAAGTTAATGTACATACATCTCAACACAACGAGCACTCGATCAAATGGGTAATCACTTCACACCGCAGAGGCTTGTGAAAAAATGCGTCCCATAGATCGAATGAAGGAAAGACAACACCACCTCAGTCAAGAAAGAAATCTTAAAGGTACAACATTTAGGGATTAAAATATAAAGAGCAATTAAAAGGAGGTCATGGACTGTTGGAATCAGGACTGCAGTGATGCTGTCAAACTCGAAGGTGGGTATCTGTGTATATCGACATACTCCATTCTAAAGATACAAAATGTTTGTAGCACAAGTACTCATAAATATATAATCAAGAACCCCAGATACAACCAGTCTAGCATGTTCCAAAGTTCTAACACCCGCACAAATACTGATAGGATAATCACAACAATAGATTACGACAAGAGAATCTGATTAAAATGTATTCTCGTATCAAACAGTTGTGTAAGATCTATCACGACACTTCGAGCGTGACTTAGAGAACAGGGGTAATGTGTACATAAGCATAATTCCAATTATGAAAATGTCGACGAATTGGCAAGAAGGAAGCCAAATTTCCTATACTGGGCGGAGATGGGCAACCAACATAATGAATCTCTCATACCTGCTCTGTCAGAGCCTTGACATATTTGAAGCTGGTCGGGGCCGACTCGTGTTCAGAATCCGTGCATTCCAGAGCATGCACCAATGCTTTCACAACATCCGTGAAAGACTCTCCGTAATCTTCATTGACAAGGAACAATATTACAAGTTAACAGAAAGGTAGATACATTTTGGTAAACCTAAAGATCCACAGAAGGGGCAAAATCGTCGTGTTTGAGAACTGGTTCGGGAATGCATGAGAACACTGAGTACCTTCTCGATCTCCAGGAACAGCAAGTGCCGACGCAGCATGTATCCTGATCTTATAATTGGCTGAGTCTCGTAAAAGCAGAAGCAGTATACTGTATACTGATGGCACCCTTCACAACCAGCAGAGAAAAGTAACATAAAGACCAACGAGGAAAAAACAGCGAAATCTTTTGAACATACTGCGAATTATATTTCGAATCCTTTCGCCAGTAACTTCTAAAACATATGTGCCATAAGCGCAGACTAACAGCAGTACTATATTTCCCACTTTTAACGTGACTAGAAAATAAATTCCGAATACAAGGGTGACTCTTGCTACTAACACGCTCACGTACAGCAACTACGAGCGTGCTCTACCGTTTGCCTGATGTGCCCTTCCGAATGCGAGATATAAGACAAGCCAGACGTCTAGAATTCGCACCAGGGTAGGACAACAAAGAATGTACCAGGTGGTTGTTGATAAGTTGATTGTTTTGTTCAGAAACAAGTTCCCCAAAGCATGGCAGACATTCCACTGCACCTGTAGCAGAGAACAAATTTACGTGAAATGAGAATTGATGCAAAACTTGAAGAAGATCATCGACACTTAACTGTTACGGGGTTTCGAGGCAAAATTTTCAAACCTTGACATTTCCTGTAGTCACACATGAAACGAGTGTTTGAACCATTACATCCAGCCATCTCCGTGCTTCTACAGCTCCCTGATAGGCTACATCCCGGTTTAAGCCCAAAAACCTTTTCATATGCGCTTCTGTTTGACCACTGAAATCAGCAAACCTCGCTAGGTTTCCAAGAGCCCTCACAGCATTAGCACGAACCTACATCACCGAAGTTGTACAACAAGGAATCAAAATCGTCCAAAAGCGAAACTGACGGCCACAAGACTGAAGTGGCGAGAATGTAAACACAGAGACAGCTTGGACTGTCATATCAGCCTCAAACTCCGAGAAGAAATGAACAAAAGGAATTGTCTCTTGAAGTTCATCAACTTTATTTCACGCCTAGGACAAGTGAAGCCTATTCAACAAATCCATATCAATTAGTTACTCACCTTGTCACAATCTTTGGCTGCCCTCAAAGCGCATTCTGCCAACGGCGCGAGGTAAGGAGACCTCGGACTGAGCTCTGCGCAAACAAATAAACTAACAACAAGGTTACAACTATGTCTCTAGTTAGGAACTTCACTCCACATCGAAGGTCTAAAGAAGACGAGGGGGTTCTCGAGAGCGGGAAATCCACCAAAAATGAAAAGGAAATGCTGGCGCATGGAAAGTCAAATTGTATTTGTACCATCTTTTGATTCTGCAATACTGCGTAGAGCGTCACATATGTTTGCGAGAGCCCATGAAGCAGTTATTCGTACCTGTCATCATGGCATCTATTAGACCATGGCACCTTTCCTGTAAAAATGAAAAACCGTTGGAAGACCAACAAGAGGATCATTTACCATAGCGGAACTCACCGAGACGGACGAATCGGTTGTTGACGAGACCACAACTTCAACAGCAAGCTCCAACTTTTCCTTGCTACATTCAGTGTCCAATTCCGGTTACCATACTGTTCAGTCAAGAGTTCTACACCGAAACCAGGAGGAAATTGACGTGACTATTGAAATCTGAAACAGTGGAGTAAGAAGAGAAAACCAGCTTAAACTTTGAAAAATATCATCCTACTACCTTCCAGCAACTTGAGGGAATCCAACCACTACACCGATCGCTCGGCATGCGGCAGAGCGAACAGCAGGTGTATCATCCTTCCATGCTGCATAGATCTAGTTCGCGTGAAGAAGAGGGTTCTAAGTTAGAAGAACATAAAGCTACAAGCGACTTATAAGCTTACGTGAGTTGCCTACTTACGAACAAATACAGAAGCTCGTCAAGAAAACACTAAGTTTGTATCAAATCAGTGACTCCAAGTGAAATTGAATATTGGTATTGCATCAAAGTCCAGCTTACCAGAGCAGAGAGAACATAATCTTGCTTGTCATCTGGCAGAGAGCAAAATATTGCACTCGTCAATCCTGCAAAGCAAGTCAATGCCGCTCCTCGCACCTGATTATCAACGACGTGAATTACTTCCAGAAACTATGAAAACTCCGAAACTGTGTTATAACCAGAATTGATGAATTTCAAATCTCGGTTTCAGATATGAGTATCTGATTGCTAATCCTCAATCCTATCCACAAATAAGATAGGCCAAACTTACCATTGGTGCAGAATGCGACAGCGTTGTTGGTAGGTGTTTATTCAAAGCCTCCAACCATAGCGCCACTCCTGCTCCGCTATCTATTTCAGAATGAACAGTATCTGGTCCATGCTTCGAAACAAAAAGGCCGGAAGCAGCGACCAGCCTCAAAGGATTTGGTACGAAAAACGGTGACGGAGTCTGAAAGGGCCCGTCATCTAGCAACTCATCGGTTCCTTTATAGCCAGAAGCAGCTCGAAGAAATTCATCAAGGAGCTGCCACAAAATTAAGAAAAACGTTGAGACAATTTGTGCTAATTGAAGATTAAACATTCAGGAGGAGCATTCTGAAGATATCTCGTGCAGCAAAAGACACCTTCGACAATGAAGCACAAAGTAGTGAAAATATAACTTTGTTGGTATACCTTGATTGCACTGTGAACTACTTTGTCGTCAGCTAACCTTGCGATTTGACCATTTACTGATGGTACAAGAAACTTCCTGACGTTTTGAGGATTGGAATATGGATCTACGGCCTCCCCCAAACCACTGTGATAATTTGCATGCTCAATAGCTGCCACAATTGAATTTGAGATCGGCTCCCAATAAGCAGCAACTACGGATGGATATGTATGAACAGCAGCTTTGAGAGCCTACAGAAGGCAACAGAACATCACCCACATTCTAGATTCCGTTAGATATGTCATATGAAAATCAAAAATCTGATGAGGTCATTGACAAAGAAAGGTTTCAGCAACAAATAAGACCAAATCATGAAACTAGAACATAAGACCCTTGGGTTCATCACGCAACTGTAAGAATAGCGACCATCAGTCGTCTACATATTGTGAATATGAGTGGTCATGCAACAAGAATTCGACTTGCCTGAAAAGCCTCCACGCGTATGACTGGAGCTGCTGAGAGCTGGGTATACGCCACGAGGTCTGGAAGTAGCAAATGACTGCATGACGGACTTTCACCTGAAGGTGCCCATGACGATGAAACTGCGACAAGTTTCTAATTAGTTCAAAAATACCACTGACTTTTCGACAAGGCGTAGGAATGTAACTTCAGGGAAAAAGCTTCCTGATATGCACTGTCCTCATTAGACGACAAGCCTGCCCAACACAAGCAGGTTTGGTAGACGATGTACCTGCTGGGGCTTGGACAATAAGGCTGGCGGCGACTTGCGCAGAAGGTGGATTACTGCCCAAGGCTGCACCCAGACAATTTATAGCTGCGCACTGTGCCAATACACATTGCACCAATAATTAAATTCAGGAGTTTTCTTCCACTCCATACGCTTCTCAGCGTGCAGATGCCAGAAACTGCATACAGACAACCTTCAAGTGATAAAAGAAGAAGGGACTCATGAGAGACACATCATGTTCACAGTGTCCAAAGCACACAGCCTCTCCTCTAGGAAAACCTTTGCATACGAAAATCCATTTCCTAGCATTATCAAAGTTTACCATCATGTTGCTTTGATCAACTGAAGTAAAGAAGAGTTCTCGAGCCCGTCGATGAACTGAGCAGATGGCATAAGGCAGTAGCTCATGCGGTAGTCGAGTATATCTGTTTCCGGTTGAAAAAGGCGAAATCTAATCAGTGCATAGATAGAGAGTTATATATTACGCATTTTCAGCCGAATTAAGTTCCACCTCAAACCACCACATTGTTAATTATGACGTGGACAATGAGTTTCTCCTCCAATTGAAGTGCGGAATGTATACCACTTATTTTATCTTTCTTTCAATATTGATTCACGGAATCTGACTCAATACCAGATGGTTTCATCACTTCTCTATACTTATAAATGCATTGTTCTTCAGTTGCAGCAACTTCGAGCCTCATTCTCCGGCGAAGTTATCTAGCTAATATTCTTGAAAAGACGAAATGAAAACTTACGGCGAGGCTGACACCAACAGAGACAGTGATTTGAGAGCACCAACAACTATACCTCCATGCGCTTCATTTGAAATCACATGCACGAGGCCTGCAAGGTCAAAGCTGATCATAAGTTACTGCTCCACGCCAAATACAGCTGAGAAGATACAAGAATAATGCTCCTATAATTAAAATCTGAGCACCTATGTGTAGCTGAATCACCAGCTGGCCCAGGGAACTCGATAATGTTGTGAAGGAATTGGATCTTGCAATGTCCCTGTGTTCAGCTACTTGCAAGAAGGCACGTGCAGGGCCCTCGAGCATTACGGCCAAAGTAGACGCAGCGGCCATCCGCGCCTGAAAAACATAATTTTTCAGTAACATTATGCAAGAATATTAACCTAAGATGGCTAGTAGTCTCCTCTGTCATTACGGACTCCAACTTCACGTATAAAACTGGCACATTTACGTTTCAGACTTGCTTGGGTATAAAACCACGAGGGCACCAGGATATAGACCTACCACGCTGACATCAAGAGAATGTTTAACATTGCTAATCTGATACAAACAAATCCCATTACGAGCAAGCCTCCATCCGTGACATAGCTTGGAAATGGCAGGGTTGACACACCTTCGTGAGAGGGTCAAATAGGAGAACTGTGAGCAGTGTGGCCTGATAGGGCCTGCAAAATTTGGTCCACAATCGAAGTTACAAAACAACACTTATGAGAAGGAGATCGAGTGAAAGACAAGACTGACGAACTTAAGTACTGTAGTATTAGAGGAAGCGGTAGTCACCTCGGATTTGAAGCTATGAAGTATAAGGAATATTCTCAATACTAAAAATAACACAAGAAACCTCATCCTAGCGAAAGAATAAACTGGAAACAAGAGATTGATGCTCATTCGTTATGGCCCTTCACGTGTACAACAAATGTTTAGCTCATGAAAGGAAAAATATCAACACTGCATAAGGTAGCTGTAGCGACGAAGAGACTGAAGAGATAAGTTTAAGAAGTAGGCAAAACGCCAGACAGCTAGGCTAAGCACTAACCGAGGTTGAAGAACATCTTGTGTTGGCAGCAAAACCACCCAATGCGCATGAAGGACTTTAGGATCCGCTCTGGCAATTGCCTGCTCAGAAATTAAAGCCTCATCAAATTACGGTTGAAATCCTCTACAATTAGAGCTTATAAATTGGAGCTCACATATCTTGCCTTCATACGCCAAAACGTGATTCATTATAGCTTAAAAGGGGTTCTCTCATTAAAAATTAGGTTTGAGATGGACCATGAATAATGCTCAAAATTTATGAGATATACGCGTGAACAGTTAGGAGTGATGAAGTATGCATGAAAGGACTTCCGGATCATCAGAAAATTGCAAATGCACTTCATTCTCCTGAACATGAAATTTGGATATCCTGCAAACGATTCTACGAAACGGTGAACATACCTGAATGGTCAAAATTGCGTTAGTTCGAACCTTGGAGCTTTTAAAACGGTCACCTTCTTCATGGTGAGCATCACTGTCACTCTGTTCTGAGTCTGAAGATGCTCCTCCCCATGCTCCTTGTCCATCACAATCCCCAGTAAAGGCATCACTGCTTCCAACTTGAATGCTTCGACTAGCTTGAGGCTTACCGCGCAAGTGCGGAGGTCGATAAGCTCCTCTTTCTTGACTTTTCGAACTTGATTCTTGCCACGAACTTGGTTTCCTGACTGATGGTGAACCCTGACCACCTTTATTGGAGTTCAAGGTAGAACCAGAGTTCGATAATCCGTAGGTAAAGAACACTCGTAAGGCTCCTACGAGGCCGGAGATCTGTAGGAAACATAGTATAAAGGAAGTATTCAGCAACGAAGTCTTCGGCCAACTCATACTAAAGTAGAGCAACATTCATGCAGTAGATGAGGGGACAAAAGTAAAAGTGGAAAAAGAGGGCTTCGATCCATCTTACATGCTCTTCAAGCGAGCTCTTACAGTCTGAAAGAACCAGATGAGCACAACGAAGCACAGCGGCATAGCATCTACAGCATCGAAAAAAGCTTTTAGTTGATTGCTCAAATCTCTATGAGCTCTAACCCAACAGACACAGGGCTGGATTCAAAGAGATCACCCTCAGGAAACTTCAAGTTATGATAAGCTCCAAGCAAATCCCCACCAATATGGCTAACCTTGTTAGTCAAGTCACCTGGATGAGGCCGCATCTTCTATGAGATTTGTTGACACGATAGATTCCAACATAATGCGCAGCATCTGCATCCAAACAAGTTCGGATCATGGAAAAATGAGGTCTTCCTGACTCCGGAGTTCAAATCTTCGGTAAATTCTTACATATGTCATCAACGAGTTTTGCTTCAAATGTATAAATAAGCATACCTCCAAGTTTCAGATCATGAAGCTTCAGAACAATTATGGGAAGTGACCACATTGACACTTGTTGATCATTAACCAGAAACTCTTTTTTGAAAAAAGCACTTCGGGAGACTTCATGCTCATTATTCTTAAGGTTTTACAGCAATCAATTTAATAAAGTCTGCGAAGGCACGATCATGACACACCTTGACCACGACGATCCACGTGTCCTTCTGAACGGTATTTCCTGCTCGGGCAAAGAGGTTGCCAATTGCTGTAAATACCAATCTCTGATACTCTATCTCATCATCTCCGACTTTGGCCTTGAACTCGACGCCTCTAGCTGAAGAACCCTCTGACCAGCTCCTCAGAATGACCTTTGATTGATTAGTTACTGAGAATTCAGGTTGTTTTACTGATCTCAAAAGCACTCCCAGCACAGAAGAAGTCTCCTCGGCAGATATCTGACCTCCATATTCATGTGTGACTTGTCTGCGTGGTAATTCAACCAGGTTTGTCGGCAATAAGACCAGCGCCTCAACCTAGACTCCCTGAACTGAGTGGACCAGAAGAACAAACAAAATATTAAGGAACTAAATTTCGCTTACACAAGAGTCTTCATCAACTCCCACTCGGTCTTCATCGCCTGATGATCCATCGACGATTTCGTAACGCCTCCGTCCGAAGGTCCGCCTCGTTGCAAATTGGCGCTCTCCAGGAGCCGGCTGAAAGAACATTGCCGCGAGAAATGAGAGCAGAAATCGTGAGGATTACAAAAAGCAAAACTCCAAATTTGGACTCAAAATTCGTTTCACAGAGCAGATCACATCGACAGGGGGGGCGTCACGAAGTCCTAAGGACGGATACTCACAGACAGTGACTCCATCCAGCCTGCATTCCTTCCTGTCGACACGGTCGAATTCCCGCAAACCTCTCGAACCTCACCTGAACGCGGCCGGGCAAATTTTTCCTGCACTGCAGAGTGACCCAATCAGACCAAGTGTCCCGTGCTCATCTTGCTCACCACATCGATCGATGTGGGGGCCTCGGCTGCCCCAACTCTCGCTGCCTGCCTCCCCTTCCCTCCCCTCCCCTCCCCTCGAGCATGGAGCCCACCCCTTGCGCACATTTACTCGTCCATCGATCTGCAGACGAGGCGCTCTCCGCCGCCGTTCACACCGCCGATTCTGCATGCGGCTCGGACTCCGAACTCTGTGCTGCAGTCGTGGATTCCGTTGCCGTCCGTCCACTGCCTTCACGACTGTAGCGACGATTTTGGCCGCCGTCTGTTTGTCCTTGCACCCGATTAAACTCGTCCTCTTCTCTTGATTTCATTCACGGCCCACGAATGAAAATAAAATTGCCTTTAAAAAGTCCAGAGCGCACACACTTCATGCCCTCAGATAGCAGATTGGTTATTTTAGAAGCTTCATATTGCGAAGCCAACAATGTTTTGAAGGTAAATTTTCAATGTGGATTGATATGCTAACATCTGAATCTGAGTGCCGGAACATCTTTAGGAATTCGAGAAATTATAAATCATAAATTTCGTCAAAATTGACTATTTTGTGTTTTATGAGTTATTCCAATATCGATCAGAATGATACTCCTCTCAACATCACACAATAAGAGAAAGTTATCGTCTCCCAAATGTTTTCTTAGACCTTTTCGTTTAAGTATGGTTCCATTACTACATGTGATGATTCTTGTGCTTCCCCTCTGGGTCTATAAACCGGAGCATCCTTTGTTATTGACAACAGCTCCTTCGAGAGTGTTACGGTCTCATGATTCTCTTTGCTTCCCTTAAGATCTCTGCTCGATGAAGGTATTTAGACTTTATGACCTTTGCGACATAATGTTCGATGTACGTGGTTAATGATGACCATGGTTGAAATGAAGGGTTCAGGGTTCGAACCCTCGATCCAAGAGAGATGAGTCAGACCTATGCTTGACTCATAGGTCTGCTCTCACCCGTCTGGGCTTTATACTAAATCGGCTTTCGACCCTGATGAAGACTTTATCACGTTACAGACGTTCAGTTGTGAATTGTGAGCATGTTTTAGACTCCGAATAGAAGGTATTTCGTCGGACTATCACCCATTCTAACATCAAGGTACAGAAATGAGTGTACTTATCACTCACTCATCTATGAAAGCGACGGAATCTCAGTATAAGAGAGATCCTCTTCTTGTACTCCTCTCTTTAGATACCAACATCTATTCCGTGGTGTACCGCCAATTTACAGTGGTACAGCTCGGGAGCAGTCACGTAAGTACAGTTTTTTGGCAAGCAAGGCTTATTACTTCAGCCGCCTTCTAGTGAAGAAGAAGCCTGCTGGGGTAGTCTGACTTGTGAACGACTTTCCGACGTGACAGGTGAGAATTCAGATTGTTCTAGAGCATTTCCGCTACTTCAACTGGAGAGATGACAAACACGTTGAATAAACGGATTTCGTCAAGTATTTAATGTCATGCATACCTGGAAGCTCTTCACTGGAGACTCGTCAAGTTTTAGAAAGTCAATATAAGTACAACCGTCCAGCATAAGCAAGAAAGCCTCAAACTTGCCATTATTCAGGCTTCCAAATTTGACAAGGCAGAGGGGAGATTTATCCAGGTGCCCATCAAATATGAGTTGATGAACCTGCACATGGTGGTAGAGGACAAGGGGATATCTATTCACATGGTTGTAAACAGCTGGCTTTAAAACACCAGTTACACAACTGCAGATGAAGCTTTAGATGAATGAACTATCAGCACTAGAAAAACTATAGGGCAATAGGAGACTAACAACACGGCCACGCTTCTCCTACTGTGACATGGCATGCCGCTGGAATTCTGAAGTCATTATAGCACTGCGACGTCGACTGTCTCTGTCACATTTCCGGAATTGGAATGGACATAAGATGTTTATGAATCCCATAATGCTGGTCGCAGTATTGTCCACTCAGATGATGAAGAAGCAACACCCGGAAAAAGTATTAAAGAGACTCATTGTTTCCAGGATAATGTACGCAAAATGCTCCTGAAGCAGAATGTCTAAATCGGAGTTTGAAAGTTGGAAAGACGGGAATTGCGCCAGGACAATTGATAAACTTTGCTAACTAAACTGGGCAGCCAGTCTATAGAGTATGAATCTCGTAGTCCTTGACGATGAATAGGAGTAACGTTGAAGAGAGGTACACTTTAGAAAAGAAAGAGCTTCAGCCACACAGTAAAATGAAATCATCATGACTCCACCAGAAAATCTGAACAATACCATGCACAGTTTCACACTATACCAATTCAGTTTATGGAACTGAGATCTCTGTCAAACATGCAAATCACAAGAGTCAAACAAACTACTTGGTATTAGGGAACCTTTTCTCTTTAGACTCAAGATATGACAACTGTACAGAGAGGGGAATGTGTTTACCCTCTCGAGAGCAACCAAATATTGCCCTCTCAAAATATAAAGCCTGATAACATACCGAAGATCATGCAGGGCTTTACCTGTGAAATGTGAGACCTTCCAGCCAGTGACTGAACAATACAACGAAGAGAAGGAGCATGTTTGCAGCTAGATATGCGATGAAGATCACTTCTGCGACAGCTACTACATGCCGCTCCTGTCCGCTAAGACATTTCCCAAATAGCTTGAAGACCAGACTTGTATGATGGATAAAGGAGTTGTATATGCAGTTCTTCCTTTATCCGTCTATTTGAGACCCGTTTCTCCTCGCATTGGGTCGAAAAATTTGTGATACCGCTGAGATCTCGATAATTGACATCTTCTTCAGTTGCCTCAGTGTCCTTTGCTTGGAGTCCAAGAAGGTCCCTAGCAAAGGCAAAGACCTCTCTGCGAGGAGCTGGATCGTCATCCACGACATTGTATATTCTCCCGGGACAAGGATGCTCCATGCTAGCAGAGAGCACTTGGCAAACATCGGCCACATGAATGCGGGAGGTAAAACGTCTCCTCTCTCGTTGTGAGCCGGAACGTGTCCTGTTTCGTAATATAGAGTTCAAAGCACTTCGTCCGGCACCGTAAATACCACCGAGTCGAAAGACCTGGACAGCAACACCGTGAGCTTTCCCGAAACTTAGCCAATCGTGTTCAGCTGCCAACCTTGCCACAGCCTTCTGCTCTACAGGACGTGGTTCCGTATCTTCATCTACCCAACTACCCTGCCAGCCTCCATAAACTCCGGTCGACGAGAGATAACCGATCCATCTCACATTGCCTCTCGCAGCAGCTTGAATGAGGTCTTCTTTATGAACAGCTAGTACAGGATCTTTATCGAAATCGCCCACTGGAGGGATCGAGATGAGCCAATGAGTCGCTTGCTGCAGCTCTTGCAAACCGTGATCATTGAGCTCCTCTCCGTCGTTCTCAGAATTAAACAAAACAGTGTGAAATCCACACTCCTCCAAAACAGATCTGTCGTCGCTTCTACGACACGTACCAGTAATGTTCCACTTCTTGTCCTTGATTCCCAAAGCCAAGGCAGTAGAAGTGTATCCAAAGCCGAATATAAACAATCGACTAGTTTCGACAGGTTTGCTGATAACAACATCGGTGTTGTGTCCAGTCTCAATTTGCCATTTGGCTCCAGCCTTACGAAAGCATCCCTCTCTGCCTTCGTCTCTACCTGCTCGACACGCGTATTTCACCCGATTACACAGCCAGCTCCACCCTTCATTAGGGATGGTGTCACTCAGCAGAAGATGTTTGTAGATTGCAGCGCGATCTCCTGAGAACTCTCGACTCCTACCATCGAATGCCTGCTTCCTTCTCAGGAAAGTCAGCCGGCACTCTGTCCAATCCGGCTTATGAGAGGTCTGACGGGCCGTGAGGGTAAGAGTATCTACTGATTTGAGTGCTCTAGAAGAGGACACTGACGAAAGCACGAGGGAATTTTGAACCATGCAGGGCTGCATCGAGGACATACTCCCTCGTGCCATAAACGAAGCGATGGACTGTGTCTGCGCAGGGAAAACTGCATTCGACTCCCGATGGCAACAGACCGGGGTCGAAAGAGACAATCTAAAGCAACACGTATGCTATCGACCATCTCTCAATAACCATCTGGCATTCGACGCGAAAGTCTCGTTGAATTTGATAGGGCAAGGATTGAACTCAATAGAAAAGAGAAACGAGGCCACAGCCATGACCCACTTGCACACGTTCTGGAACATAAACGACATGGACATCAAAAACATGCAACTGATGAAGCCGTACACGAGGGGCCCGAGTAAGGCGAAAAACAAAAAAAGAATTCTCATCGCGCAAAAATGCCACCACCGAAACCGAGCCCCGTCTGTCTGTCTCCCTACAACTCCCTCCCTAAAACTCACTACAAAGGCTGCTCGTATGACCCGATCACTCCACCTTCCGATGAGCCGAAAGCGAAAGGCCCCATGCTCGAAAACCAACGCGCACACCGAATCCCCTCTCTCTCTCTCTCTCTCTCTCTCTCTCTCTCTCTCTCACGCACTGCCCGCCCTTCGAGATCGGGATCCGTGATCTCGTCCCGCCTCGGCTATACACTGTATCAGGCGCAGGGCGATTGGCGATGTGGGCACGAGACTCTGCGCTCGTTTCCGCTCCGATGTCCGATGCCAGTCACTGCTCGCCTACGCATCGCAATTGCCTCCTCCGCCTTCCGGGTGTCGATCACGCGCTCGAACGCCGTCCGATCGCGGGCCACGATCGTCAGCTCGTCCGAATGCTTTTGCGCGGTGCTACGATGCGCCCGCACATTCCTCAGCACATTCCTGACATCGTGCGCGGCTCCGTGTTCACTTCCGCCATAACCGTGTGGGGGGAACTAGCAGCCGTGTACTCAAAACGGCGACGTCATGTCGCAGTAGAGACCAAATCCGGAGCTAAGTGTTGGAAGACAGTCTACCAATAATCTCTTCCGTTGGGTTATAAAATATTACTCTTATTGTTGCTGATAATTATGGGACCTCTATCGCATGCTTATCATCAATATTAATTTCCTGTATCTCAGACTTTACCATAGAAGAGGTTTGGGCTTCTGAAAATGGCTTGAATCTTTGATCATATCTCGAGCGGTGTGTTTTCTCGATTTCTTCTATCGCAGGTGAATGGAGTCCAGCTTACAACAAGGTTCACGACATTTTCTTTTTTAGGTGAAAGAATTAAACACCAATCTCAATGAAGCTGTCGAACTAGTTCAAGTAGTAGTATACTCATACACTGCAGGAAAAGTAAGTATGTGCACTTTCGTGATGAAATTGTCATCCACTCTCATGTAACTCAACTTTTCGGAGTTACCACGGATTGTATGGATGTGGACTGGATGACTTTCGAGAAGTCATTTATTGATCCATCAAAATGTTGGTAACAACCACACACTTTTCAATACTTAGCGATTTTTTGGCAATTTAGGCGCAAATAAAACAAGTGTCAACATTTTCTTCAAGCTTACAAAGTAGTGATGTGTAGAAAATTCGTTCATCTTTCAAGTTGACATCCCGCAATGCAAAAGATTGTCAATCATTTCAGAAATTCACATCTGCTAACATGAACGGGTATTCAATCATCATTTTCTCTGGAATTTTTCATACAAAACTTAAGAACTAAGGCTTTTATTTATCAAAAAATACAATTTGGAAAAAAAATAATAATACATGAAATATTATGTTTACATCGATTTCTTTATCAATCTTTGAAAACATGTTTTTTATTATATTGTAGCTGGATTTCAGCACACAACATAACAACAAATCTTTATTATGAACAATATGGAATAAAATGTAATAATTAATCATAATAAATATGTCATTTCTTTCTGTAACATTAAAAAAATTTTATTAGGGAAAATATAAAAAAGGGCGATGTTGAAAGTATAGTTATTATAAAAAAATTCCGAATAAATATTATTATTTTACACAAAATATTGTAAAAAATCAGCTCAAAACCTTCATATTTCATCTTTAATGATCTTAATCTTTTTTTGATCTATGATATTTTTTTATCAACATTTTAATTTATAATGAAAATAAAATATTGACATTGTAAAATGTTATATTCTTTTGCAATGTAAGTAATCATCAATAAAAATATATTGATTCCATTATTTTTCTAAATGTATGAATTAATCTTTTCTCAATAAAACAAAATCTATGAGTCAAATATGAACAAAATAATTCAAGCATATATACAATTTAACTCAGGCTAATTTTTAATAATTGTGATTTTTTTCAATTATTATTTCTACAATTGTGACACAAGAGATACATAATATATATTTATATGTTACAATCTTACAACTTGTAATACATTGTGCAAACTCATTTTAAAACAAGCATTAATGTTTATGATTAATATATGTAAATTCATTTATTAAATAAATTTGAAAACAATTATAAATAAAATTCATTTAGTTCACAATAACGCATTTGTTGGATATGATCAAACATGATTTTTTACATGAAAACAAAATTATAAAATAATTTTGTATGTATCTATTGATATGTTTATTAATAAATAGCATATTTCTAGTTTATTTTATTTATATATATATATAAGCATATGCAAATATTGATATGTATAATATTTGCATATGCTTTTGTAGTATTAATATAATCATTTTGCATCAGATTTTATATAAATTTTTCTGAATAATTCATATTACTTTAGACCATACTTACATATCAATTTTATCATTAATGCTTTTTATTACATTTTATATGTTTTTTCGTTCACATTGCTTTGTATCAACATATATATATATATATCATCAATCAATATCTCTTTGTATCATATTTTGTATTACAACTTTGTATCAAATTTTATATCAAAATTAACTTTAATCAATTACTGATATTTTATGAATATTTCAAATTATTTTTTATCAACAAAACTGTCATCATTGAATAGAAATTTGTATATATTTTTGTCATTATCTAATCTGATTATTTAATGATAGTAATTGTATCACTTTTATTACTTTTTTGTATGATTATAATTAATTTTATATTAATATCTTTATTTATATGTAAAATTTGCATTTCTCATTTGTGTGTAAGTAAATATTGTGCAGTATATATATATATTATATTATATTTTTTAATAATTCAAATTGGATTGATCATAGTTTATTAAGCTTGTTAAATCATCACTATGTAATAGAGATAACAAAATAACTTGGTGACAATATTAAATATGTTTTCAATGTAGTGTTATGTGTGACTTCGATGTAATGTGCAATGATGAATTACATATATCTGTTGTGTTTGTGTGTGTATTTTCATGTTGATGATGTGTGAGCATGTTTGATTAATGAATCTGAATTTTGTTTAAATACATGTTGGTTCATTCCTCTATGTTGCATCGTAAGCTTTGTATGAAATTTGAACTAAATTTATGTATTCAGTAAACAAAGTTTTACTAATGCAATCAATTTATTGAACAACATCATGTGCATTGACATGCAAACAAATGATTGGTTACAATTATATCATAATTCTATTGGACCCAATAAGAATAAAAACGAGTTAAAAATGTGTTGCAGACGTCAACTCACACAAGTCTTGAACTAGCATTTGAAGCTCCAATACTGGAAGTAGTAACACTCAAAGCGACAAAGCAGAAAGTAGTATTGATATTGATAGAGCAATTACAACTTGTGTTGACGAAAGTGAAAAACATGGCCACGAATCTCTCTACCTACAATGCTATAATGCTATTAAAAAAATTGAGAGTTGAAAAGTTGTCACTAACTCCAAGTTGAAAAAGGTATGCATTGCTTTCAAAGTTGAAAATAGTCCACACTATCTCCGGAGTTGGAAAAAAGTTTGTAGTGGAAAAATCATTACTGATGTCAAGTTCGTGATAACGTCGTTTTGAAAATATGCTAGTGGATGCGGCTAGTTATTTTGCACCTACGGTTAATTAATCCTCACCATACTATACAAATGTCATTCATTGGTTGGAAGGTTATAGAGTCTGTGTAATAAAAAGTTAACTTTGCGAGATCTAGTATTTTTTATGGACGTCAAAGATGTCAGGGTGGCCCGAACTGATTCTTGACCTGCTTTTCATATCCATGTCAGGAATAGAGGATATTGAAGATAATTTTAATATAAACAGTTTAGATTTTGAGTTTTTAAGTGTAAGGTTCTTCAATCTTGCAATGATTTCTATTCTCTCAACGTCCGTAAAGACTATTCAAAGCCCTAGAGTGATGAAACCAGATCTGCTAGGATCGTTCAACAATACTTCAACTCAATTTAAAATCTATGCAATTAAAATTTTCTATAATAATCGCATCTAGTGAAGAACTAAAAATGTACAAGTCGGCTAGAGGAAAAAAGAAGTCTTACATCGATACAATTCGTGTTCAGCTAGGTGTTATGAAACAACATTAGGAAGAAGTAAAAGTCCTTAGACTTTGATCAACCATCTTTACATCATCTTTTGAAACCACTAACAGCAATACAACGAAGTCTTAGTTTGTTCTTGGAATTCTCTCGCTGGCACGGATGCTATGATAACGTGCATCAATGGCCACAACTTAGAAAATGATCTTTGCTCACTACTTGATTTACGAATAGATATCCATTGACACGTACAAGCGAAAAATCGAGCTCGCTCAAAGCAAGGGCACCGACTCATTCGCATTGAACACCAACCTCTAAACACCACTTACGTTGATCAATGCACTAATGAGCTCGTTTTTATGCCAAAAACATTGACATGACTTTAATATCGTAGAGGTGGCAATCAAGCTTCTTACGTGGCTTTTGACACCTTGACATTTTTAACGTCAATACAAAAGACTAGAACTCGCAAAGTTTACTTTTTGCCACATGGACCCTACAGATCTCCAACCAATGAGTGACGTCCGTATAGTAAGGTGATGACTAATTGGCCCCAACTGAGGTATAACTAGCACCCTCGTGCTAGTGGTGTGAATTATAATGAGTTATGCATACTAATAGTTGGTAAGGTACTTGTTCGTATAAATGATTATTTTGATGATTCAATATCATTGAAAGAAAAAATTTTTCATACTCTTCATATTGATATAAATAAATATTTATTTCTGTATGTTGTTGTTGAGGAATATTGATCATTATGAATGTAATGATATGACACAAGTTGGTACAAATTGAGCAAATTATTGAGTAACATGAATGGCAAAAGTTACTTTTTATTGATAAATTTCATATCATTCCATCAAAAAATAAAGATATATAGAATATTTTACAATGAAATCATCAAATCATATTACCATAGCTTTTACAAGGTATGGATTATGGATTGGTTTTTATGTTTTTGAATATCATGATAATAAAAATGAATATTATGATAATAATACATTGATCTAAGAAAAAAATAATCTTGTTTTTGTAGATAAGCTTAGATATCTATCTAAAATTTCCTGTAATATTGAAATAGGGCATGAAATAAATTATTGATTAATTTATAAAATTTAAACTAATTAAATTAATAGTACATCAACCTTTGATTGATAGCAAATTTTGTACATAGTGTATTACAATTAAACAAATGACAAGAACATAAATTTCAAAGTCATAGTGATGTTACCAGTATCATTCAATAAAATTACAAATTCCACAATAAAGATGATTCACAAGTAATAAAGTGTGTTACAATTCAACTCATATGTGCATTTGGTATGAATTTTAATCTGTTTCTAGATATATAGATAAAATATAGGCTATAATTACAATTTTCTATGAAATTTTGAGATGTAAATCTACAAAAGACAACTAGTTAGTTTTGGAAAAAAAATTATAATGAAAAAAGTTTTTAGAAATTTTAGAAATTTGTAGTAGTTTCAAAACTATATCAAACATTTATGTTCATGAGCATTTGAAGAAAAAAAATTACGATTCAATCAAGATTGCTCAATCTATGCTTGACATGTTAAACATGACAAAAAAATGTATTCATTTTGACAACAAATTTCACTTTTTTTTCATATCAATATCCAATGTATACCACTAAATAGATGTAATGTATTCAAATTTGTACGACAAAGCAGTGAACAACATCATGCATTATATGATATGCTTAAGACCTAATATTGCTCTAGTTATCCACAAGGTGAGCAATCACATGTCAAATTCTTCCTACACTATGTTGACGTTCATTGTGAACATGACTTTCAAAAAGAAATCTTAGATTTTTGTAATGTGTGTTTGCATTGAATGATAGATGCATTTGTTTAAAATATATTTTGTAGAAGTGCGTGGCTCATTATATAACGGAAGTTGAATATGTAATGATAATAAAAATAACAAAAATAATTACATATTTATATTGATTTATCACTCATGCGGGATTGGAACAAAAAACTATTAATCTTCATTGACATAGTGAGATATTATTAAATCTGTTGCAATTAACAAATTTTCAAACTCAAGTTAATAAAGTGAAACTCATCAAAATCAATTTCAATATATAATATATGCAATTTTTGATCAAAAGAAGTAACTAATCAATATTAACAATAAATTTTAACCAAGTTGATGTGCTAATTGAAGTTATTATTTTGAAAAGATTTAGTAGATATGATATAACTTTGGAGGTTTTGCAAAAGTAGCATAAGTGGAGTTAACTTCTTTTTTTCTCATGTATATATATTTTTATTTCATAACATTTTAGTTAAAATTTGTTAGTTTTTTACAAATTTAAAAAAAATAAATCATGAAGCTTGCAGTAATTAAGATATGAATAAAAGAGATAATTGTTGAGAATTGTTAGAATGCAGATTACTCCATACTTCTTCGGGACTTGCAAACTTTGTACTAGTCATTAGGATGAGATTACTAATAGTTAGGATGGATACTAACTGGGAATGCAACCCTTGAATGGGTGTGTCCCATGACAAGGGATGTCCTTTTTTAGTGTTGTGATACGTGTGCTCTCTCATGGCCTTTGGTTCTATCCGGATTGGATACTTAAACCCAATCCGAGTCGCATGTTATCATCCAGCAATTAAACTTCAATACTTCTTCAACTATGACTGATCTCTTACTCTCTATTGCATTGTCTGATTTATCATGGTATAAGAGCAGGTTCCACTGTGATTCAAGGACGCTTGAATTCAGAAAGCCAAGAGGACGTTTCTCGCTGTGAACCATCTCTAAGACACTTGCGAAAGCAATTACAGGAGATCCGTGATCCCCATCAGGCTCCGAAATTTGACTCCATATTTGAGCAAATTTGACTGTCAGAAGCTGTGAAATACCTAACCGTGCTAATCAAAAGAAGTAACTTATCAATATTGACAATAAATGTTAACCAAGTTGATGTGCTAATTGAAGTTATTATTTTGAAATTTTTTAGCATAAATGATATAACTTTGCAGGTTTTGCAAGAGAAGCATAAGTGGAGTTAACCTTTTGTTTGTTCACCTGTATTTTTTTTTATTTCATAATATTTTGGTTACAATTAGTCTTATTTAAAATTTGTTAGAGTTTTTTTTAAAATTTTCAAAAATAATTATATAAACCATGAAGCTTGCAGTTTAAGATATGAATAAAAGATATAATTATTGAAGATTAACTTATATTTTCCAGTAACTTAGATTAGGTTAATTTTAATTGATGATGCTAGCTAAATCATCACAATATAAAACAACTCACAAAAAATTTAGATTAAAATTTGTAGGATTTTCAAGTAATGCTTTATATATTCTGAAGAAGTAGTACTGAAAGATTTATCATGTTAAATTATGTCCACAAAACATTTTAAAAAAAATTTTAATCAATTATGCTTGTGCATTTCCGTGTTAATGATGTATGAGTTTGACTAATTCATGCATTCAACTTTCCTTATAACACGTTTCAGTTCATTCACTATACAAAAACAATTTCAGAACAATTTCAGAACAAAGAACTCACGTAAAAAATTTAAATAAATAATATGAAGCATAATATATATATGAATGTAAGGAAAAAAATTATGTACATGTGACAATGACAAAGCTGAATTTATAAAGCAAAGAGTCAAAATGTTAAAGTATTAAAGGTGCAAATAAAATACGTAAATGCCAAAACATGAAAACCTCTATATCAAAGACAATTGAAAGTCTTAAACAGTACAATATATATATATATATATATATATATATATATATAAATAATTGAAAATATGAAAACATTAAAATTGAATTTCAAAATGTCAAACATTATAGCATTGAAGCTAAGATATCAATTGCAAACGTTTAAAAGCTCAAAAAATCTTGTTAAAGTGCTAGTTGTAACAACCAAAATTATTAAGGTATGATTGTTAAATTAATTTTACAAATCATATGTTTTACTACTACATGGTGCCAAAGACAAAAATAAAAAAAACTGAAGAGCAATTATGAAATATCAAACGTATAACATTGAATTGATTGAAATGTGATAGACAATGTGATAGTGGTATAAAAAATTCTAAAGAAAATAATCAAAATTAGACCAATAGCAAAAATAACGTGTAGAACACACCAACAACTTCAAAGAAACAAACTAACAAATCAGGTAAACTGATATGTTAAAAACCTCTTAAAGTTCAAATGAAGAAAAAAAACATTATGTTTCTTTAAGCATTATATTCAAAGGACATGACAAGCATACATAAAAAGAAAACATGAAGTATATCTAAAACATTAGCTTGTTAACGGTGATATGAAAATTACTTATAAGGATAAAAAAAGTAGTATTTCTGACAAGTCGTTTTATCAAGGTTCAGTTCATTCGGCTATATAGTTTTAATGGCTATAATTTGAAAAAGTATGATTATTTTTTCATCAAAGATTCTGTAAACTGAATGGTTTTTTTATCAAACTTAGTCTATGACATGAACATGACAACATTCCAATTTAAAATATGTTTTAGATAAAATATATTAAAATAAAATATATTAATATATTAAAATATGAAATTATGCAAGATTATTCCGTTGTGAGACATTAGTTACAAATGCCATTATATTGAAAATAATGAGCAAGATACATATTTATATTCGACTGAATTTAGTTTATGATTTGTTCGCAATATTCTGATTGAAAAACGATCAACCTTTTAAATCTTCTATTACAGAAGATTGAAAAAGTGATGTGATACAATGAAAACTATTAACTTCTAAATCTTTATTCTGTTCTTTATTAAAGATCTTACAAATAATATTTCCGTGAAAGTACTTTACAAAAACGTGTTTGCAAGTTTGAAAATGGAACTGTTTTTTGGCTTCTTTCCTTGCATACTACGGTGTGTACGTATGCTTTTCTCTCTATTTTACTCTGTCTTAGTGTATATTCAGAAGTAAACAACATCTGTAACATATAATGCTACAATGCAAATTATTGAGCTTACAAGCATATATCAAGATGAGAGACGACATGAAGCAGAATACATCATAGTCACACTCGATGAAACCGTCAGTGATGAGTTACTGTTTATTTTTCTTTAAAAAATGTGAATCGAAATTAAAAAAATAAATAAAAAGGAACGCTTCGTTTCGACGCGTGGCTACGACAGCAAGCAGTAGAGCAGCAAGGCTCGCCGCGGGGACGCTTTTATCCACAACAACGCTCTCTAGTGTGCGCGAGAGTGGAGGGCCGAACTACAGTCGGCTGAGTGCAGTTGGCGAGTGTAATGAGAGAGAGACTGAGGATCTGGCGGTAGTCGATCGGGAACCAGTGGGTTATAATGGAACGGGCAGTGTCTTATCCAAAGTGGTCGCTGCGAAGATCTGCACCGTTGTTCGGGCGACAGGATTCCTCACATCATCATCCTCTCGGAGCTCGGGGGCTATTCGGGCCATGTCCACAGTCTCGGCGCCTTCTCTCTTGCGCTTGCACTTGCACCAGCTCGAGCTGCAGGCTGGCTCGTTCCTGCTGCACGAGAATTCGGCCACGCCCGGAAGAATCTTCGAATTCTGTGTAGGAGGAGGTTTTGGGAGGCAGGGGCGAGAGATTCGTTGTCTTTCTCTTCTCAGCTGACGGAATGGCAGCAGCGATGGCAATCGCCACGCCACACCAGCTGCAGTTCGGCTCGCACGCCGGTATGGCTTCCGTCGTCGGTCTCCGCGTCACTCCCTGCCGAGTGCAGGTTCCAATGAGAGGGTTTGTCATGCCCCAGCAGCGCTCATTGCGTATGGTGTGTGTGAGGGCTTCAGCCGTCGTTTCTCAGGTTCGCTTCTGTTCGTTTAGTCTGCTCCTTCCATTCTGCTCGCTGGAATGCATTTATCACCGTTCGCAGTTCGGCGTTTTACTTCCATCTGTTGAGCTCACCATTTCGTTTGGACGCCAGAATTTTGCTCGGCGGAATATGAACAATGATTTTGGCATTCCACATTTTCTCTCGTAACTTCTCCTGCGTTTACAATTTTGCCTGAAAATTGCAGGAAATTGACGCTGAACAGGCTGCGGAGGGACCTGTCGTCATTGAATCCCCCAAGAAGAAGGAGAAGGCTTTCTACAAAGAGAAGGTGGTGGTCCATATTTTTCATCCTCTACGTGCAAATGTTGTTGTGTAATTCAAGAATCGACTTGACCTATCTTATGCATCCTAGGATTGGTCAAGGACGACGCTTAATCCCGTTGTCAGCTATCAAGAATTTTTCTACCTGAAAGGTCCAGTTAGGTTCTCAATATTCCAAGTTTTTGTCTCTCTCGGCAGTCGTTGACATTTCTGATGCATGTAATAAGATAACACCAATAGGAAAGCGTTTTTGGGAACGTTAGGCAGCAGAAGGCGGGAGAAGCAAGTCAAGTGAAACAGAACGAGGTCACTCGTGCGTATCGTGTAGAACACCTGTAATTGTAGAAACTGACCGAAGCCAGAGTCCAGTGGCTTAAAAGACAACAAAGTCCAGTTATTACAAGAGGAATTATACCTGTCATTGCCTCATTATGCTTTGTGGAATTTGATCATCGAACTTCCTGTGAGCGGTCCACTCATCGATTGACGAAACCCCCTGCACCAAGATTGGAAGTCGTCCTCTGGGATTATGGCCTCTATTTTTTGAGGTCGAATCTCGGTGATGTCTAGATTGGCAATCTGCTACAACGATGAGGACTGTCATCACTGTATAGAGTCTGAGCAGACTTACTTGGTTCAATGGCAGGGTCGCTCGAAAAGATTTATGGAGGTCCAGAAACTGCGTGTGAAGAAACAGGAGTATGATCCCGCTACTGCCATCCGCCTGATGAAAGATACATCTAGCGTCAAATTTGTTGAAACTGCTGAGGCTCACATTCGCTTGAACATCGACCCCAAGTACACCGATCAACAACTTAGAGCCACAGTGAGTGAATTCTCTACCGTGTTAAATCTCTTTACGTTTCTAATTTCCAAAGAAGATATATTTGATTTACAGGCTTGGCTTGAAACCTTTTGATTACTCTCTCTACTATTCTCACGTGACAATTGCCTCCCAGGTTTCTTTACCGAAAGGAACAGGACAAGTGATCAGAGTCGCCGTCCTTGCTCAAGGTTGGTTAATTATTAGAAGTCTTTTTCTTCAAGCCGGCAGTAACGAAAATGTTTTGAAGTGGAATGATTGTTCAGACGTGTTCAATTTCGTTTGAATCTGTTTTATCTATATTTCAGGCCTCTGTCTCACAAACTATCAATGTTTTATGGTACAGGAGAAAAGCAACAAGAGGCGAAAACTGCCGGTGCAGATCTTGTAGGAGCAGAAGATTTGATCGAGCAAATTGCTGGCGGATTCTTAGAATTCGACAAGCTAATTGCTACTCCGGACATGATGCCGAAGGTAACCTAATTACAACGGCAAAGATGATCAACTCACGTCGCTTTGAAGGATTATGAGTATGTGTTTTGGGAGAAAAGTGCCGGTTAATTTCCAGGTATCTGATCACATATTTTATCTTGCAACTTCCAGGTTGCCAAGTTGGGTAGACTGCTGGGACCTCGTGGGCTGATGCCTAACCCCAAAGCCGGAACAGTTACCGTAGACATCATCAAGGTATGATTTCTAATCATGACTACGTCTGCATCTACTGTTTATGCTCATGTTCAGCAAGCGAATGAGCCGCATGATTTTATCACAACAAGCTCATTTCTGTGATCTAATGCTCTTATTACTCATCAGGCCATTGGAGAGTTTAAGGCTGGAAAGGTTGAATACCGAGCAGATAAGACTGGAATTGTCCATGTTCTTTTTGGAAAGTCGAACTTTACCGCCGAAGATCTTCTTGCGAACTTGGTGGCTGTCGCGGTAAGTCAAGTGGATTACTAAGTCGTCCTCTGGTTTCTAAGTTGTGTCCTTCTTTGTATGTAACTTGAAATCTCACATCTATTCAATGGACCTGTTCCCGCTAACACGTGGACTATGTTTGTACAGAACTCTGTAGATGCCAACAAGCCATCTGGAGCCAAGGGAGTATACTGGAAGACATGTTACTTGTGTACTACAATGGGACCTTCAGTCAGGGTAAACGTAACTCAACTCCGAGAGTTCAAGCTATCCGGATCATAGAATGTACAAAATTCAGAGTAGGATTCACCTCCATGCTTCTTATGTACGTTTAGATTGGTCTCATGCTTGTTTTGGATGCCACATGTAGCCATTTATTATTGTTGAAACGTTAGACAGGAAAGAGCAATTGCCGTATAATAGAATTAGCCACGACGGCTTTCAACCACTTGAAACAAGCAACTGTGATCATTTGGTTCAATTTTCCTTGAGATATTGGGAATATTCCTTTTGAAATGTCATAACCTCTGTGTAGGAGCTCATTTGTCAGGGTTCACAGTAAAGAAAGTGTACACTTCAGCTCAAGGCCTCTTTCTTATTTTCTGGGCTTATGGCGTTTTGAACGTCCGTTATGAAATCATAGACGAGGAGTTCCTCTCAAAGTCGTACTCTGTACTGCGTGCCAAGTCAGTGCCCACAGCAATAGCAAAGCAGTAGTGCCGAAGGAGTAGGATAAATGATTTGGTGTTGTACAGCATCAGTATGTTAAGCTGCAATTTCTGAAGGTACAGTCACGAGGGTCTCAAATTATCTACTGGTTCTGTCTTACACTCGTGACCCAAGCACAAGAACGGTGGAGAGCAAGCAAGTCAGAGCCCAAGAGCAAATATCGTCGTACGCTTATTCGGAATCGACATCCACCTGCCATTCTGAAAATTTCTCCATTGATGAGAAGGCTGTGCACGTCAAAAGAGCAGTACACGTTATCTCAACGATTAGTGGCGTATTGAATGCGACAGAGAAGTAGACAACAACCCTCCGTATATTAGGAACTGAACAAGACTTCCATCGTAACAAGGTGGAGTCCTGGATCTTGCGGATTTAGATTTGGAGTGGAGTTTCCCCAGCACGCGCCTGGACTCTTCACGAAGGGAGCAACCATGTGAAGGCACCCCTACGACAATTCGGTCTAGTAATTATATCCAGCAACATTCATGTGTCTGAGCCCCACTTCAAAGGCGCAGAAAGTCCCGTTCAGCAGAGGTGGCCCTGTAGGTGGGATGCTTCTCAGCAGGAGGGTGGAATGAAGCGGTAAGCTCTTGCATACGAGTGCAAGTGGTGTCATCTGTTGTCAGAGAACACCTGCGGTGGAAATAATGCTAGGTGAAAACGATGAATGACGACGACTACCTACTTTAATCGTGGAACCGTAATGCCAGAGAAAATTCGCACCTCTTCCTGAAGGTAACTCCCACCACCAATGTTGTAATCACTTTCCAATACCCAGTATACACGCTGTATATTGAAGTTCGAAGAGAAGACGGGCAGCCAGAAATTGTAAAATTCGCTGCCTACAGTATCCTCACTGTTTAGAAGATCAACAGACATCTACTGACCCTGCTTAGATTTCGCTGTCGCATTTCAATGTTTATTGTTTCTGAAGACTTGATCCTGCAGAATTGCAACATAGAAAGGCCGAGCAGGCAGACATGGAGCTCCCTCTGGAGAATATGAGGAGACCTTGAGATGAAATCGAATTTCAAGTTTCTTTGGTCGGATAAGAACAATCAATGCTGGCATCAGATTCGATTCGTTTTAGAGATTTAGTTCCACTTGGAGGTCTGAGAATGGAACGGACTCCAAATCAAAATACTTCACTCCCCTTGGAACTACACCTGTCAAAGAAGTGACACTCGGTCAACTTTCCCGATCCTTCATCAAGTTTCCTCCACCCAAAGTGTGTTATGGAACGTGTGTAAATCATCCAACAAGTGATAAATGGTATATGATAGACCATGAGCGTCATGAGTCGCGAGAAGCCGTCTATTCACTCGCCTTTAATTTCCTAATTTGTACACAAACTCTACGTGTGTTGACGGGCCTCCTCAAGTAAAATGCAAACACCAACATGTTTACAAATGAAAGCTCACCCATGAGATCCAATGCAATGACCGGGACAAACAAACCAAGTCTACTTTGAACCTACTACTTAGGAACACTAATCTGGAATGCACTTCGAAATGTCCAAAGTAAGATATTTTAATGTTATACTAACGAAACATGTTATATGTGACTAAGGAGACATGTGAGGTTGTGTATATATGTGGTTGGTCAAACCATGTAAGTAGCATGACAATGCAATTCATGGGGAGACATTTATTTGATAGAACCACATGTGAACCTAAACTCCTTAAGTTTCGTTTTAACCAATGGGAATCCACCGACGCTACACATCACGCATATTATAGTATCAACAAGAGGTGTAACTAGTTTAGTGATAGTCCCGTTTTTATTTAAAACAAAAATATATACATTCATATCGTCTGAACTAAAGATGACTTTTATTTAAGACGTCTTTTATCGGTGGACATTAGAACTCTAATGCGTAAGTTCAGTAAAGAATGTAGTAAAGTATTGCCAGATCAACGAAGGTGGCCAGATCAAAGTTTGATTTGTTGAAAGAATTGAAGATTTATGTGAGAAGACAGTTCACTCAGTTGCATGTCACGACGAAGGGCATAAGAATTGATCATGAAATTGATGGATCTGAGAATGCGAGTTTCAGTCCAATGAACTGCACTCATGACAAGTGACTGTTCAATCCGTCTACGCTTGCTTGGGGCAGTGATGCTTATCTTTGTATTACAGTTGAATTGTCAGTCTGAGATATCATCGTAAGATTACTTTTCAGTGAAAAAATTTCAGGGAATTTCTTTGAAGCAAAAAGAAAAGAAAACTATAGACCTAACACATTCAATTTGCAACGATCAGACAGCTCTAAATGATAGATAGAACTATGAATAAAAACTCTCACTCTCTAACAAGGCCATTAGTTTGGAGAGAATTGAAGATTTATGTGAGAAGTCCATAGATGAGACAATTCTAAAAAAAGAGAGAGAAAAATGAATCCGAACTCTCACTCTCTAAGAACATCATCAGATTGGAAAGAATTGAAGATTTTGGTGAGAAGTCCGTTGATCAAACATTTCTAAATGATGAAAGAGAACAATGAATTCGAACTCTCACTCTCTAAGAACACCATCATTTTGAAGAGAATTAAAAAGGCCGTTGACTCAACTGTATGCCACAATGAAATGCTGAAATAATTGATCATGAGATTCAGTCAAATGAATCACAGCTGTATGCCACAACGAAGCACATTAAGAATCGATCATGAGGTTGAGTTAGATGAATCAAAACATCAATTCAACGTCGAATGTTCAGATCAAGTCAAGGTGCATCCCTTAGGTTTTTAAGAGAATATCCAAAGATGAAAAAATCTTTGATGAAATGCAAAATAAGAAACGTATTGACGTGCAATGTCTAAGAATTAGTTTCTAACTTTGATTCAGTCTAACGAACTATACGAACTACAAACAAGTTCAACTTTAATTCTATCATAAAATTCTCATGAATCATCTTCACTATCTATGAAAAGAATGGAGATAGAAATCTTATTGGATGATATATCGACTAGTAGAACACATAATAAATCCAACTGTTCAATAATTTTGAATTCGTTAAGAAGATAAGACATTGGATCTTGAAATTCATCATTTTACTCCAAAGTTTTCTCGTTTATCTCATTCTGTCATAGCCACAGATAAGCCATACATGACTTTATGATCATCAATTCATCCTCATATGACTTTGACATCACTGGTGGATCTTGATTCATGCATAGAATTACGATGTGGTGTTTGAAAGATTGTCGTTTAGGATTCAATATCACCTTATTAACCGAAGAGTTTTGAGCCACAACAATTTGATGCTCAACCTTGCCAAAGCTTGTGCAATTATGTCAAACGCAATGCACTTTCTTTTCCACCTTGTGCTATTGTTCAATGCCGGTTGATGATACTGTTCCAATATACACCTTGATAAGAATATGAGCGAGATGAGTATATTTTGATTCACACTAACCAGAAACAAAGCGAGATTGATATACTTTGTATGGTGCCATGCTTATCATGAATTGTTTTTCAACAACGCAAAATTCCATAAATTTCACTTTCACTCTTTCAAACATATGTTCATCATTTTCTGAAGATTCTTGACGACGAGTGAAAAGCTTGATTGTAGTATGACATTAATTAATAAGTGAACTGTTGCCGAATTCAAGCACTTGATCACCATGGACATGCACAACATTAAGTTCAAACTCATGATAGAAAGGGTCGCAAAAAAAAGCAAGTGCATGAACAGGAGAATAAATTTGATCCCTTCGATAACGGCTGAGCTTACATATGTTCAACCTCGGCACGAGACAATACAGTAGGTAGATGAAGAAAGATGAATACAAAAGCTACATAGACCAGTATCCATTGTCAATGAATCACTCTTGATAATTTTGATGCACTTGCAAATGTGATCAAAAAAGTGATTACAACGTTGATGCCGCATCGGAAGATGCTCTTGGTGATAATGTTCACAAGGTTGTGCGGAAGTTTATATCCAACATCAATATCTTACTCTTTACTTTTCTTTTTAATCAAATTTGGCATAGAAGTGATGGGACATTTGATTGCCTTGAGACAAACAAACATGTAATTCACGGTCAACCAACGTCAAGTTAAATATAAATCCATTGAACATGACTTATCAAGAATCTACTTGCAAATTAAATAGAAGATTTTATTGAGTAATCACGGGTTTTTGATGCACTTTGTGACGATGAGTGCCATCTTGAGTAGTGATTTGAAATCAAGCAATCCGATTAGATCTTTGTATAAATTGTTAAATGGATGAGTTTCACATCCATAAACATAGTCAACGTCGCGATTTGCATCAGTTGAATCTAAAGGGCTTGCATTGCATTACAACTATTGGAAATAAAACCATTTGCAATATTTTTTTCAACAAATGTTGCAATATTATCAAACACGTATCTCATCTTCTGTCGAAGCTCAATGGCAAATTCAATCTTAAGATATGCTCTCAGATATTCTACAAACCATGAACCATGATGTGCAATGAAATTAGACATGCTCCTACATAACACATTTGAGACACGAGCCAAACCAATTATAACAATTGCGGCCAATAACAATTCCTTGCATTTTTTTTCTATGAATAACAATCTTGAAGCAATTGATTGCTTAGCACATCGTGTGATGGAGTGATTTAGTTGGGAGATAGCTATTTGAAGAATTTCTACTAGGTTGTATGATCAAACATTTTAAAGTTCAAAGCAGTTTGATGCATGACGGAAACAAACAAAGAATCAACCACTTGTTTTTCATCTAAACTAAATTCAAAAAATATTTTTGCACATATCTAATTAGCAATCACCTCAAAATTAATCCCGACTGTGCCATGCTCTAAGCAATCATTAAACCAATCATGTGGTCAAATTGTTTATGAGATTGAGAATACATCAAGGTCAAAGATGTAGGATTATTGATGTTTGTGACTACCATCTGCAATGAATCAATTGGAGCAAGTCG